AGTGTACGGTTTTGTGGCATTATGTACATTCCTTCTGTTGTGTGATTACTACCACCATCCACTGATCTTTCTCTCTCCCCACTAAGTACTACTTATCTCTCTTCCCTACAGTCTTTGGCACCTGTGACTCTACATCCTGTCTCTGAATCTGACTGTTACCTCATAGATTTGGAATCACACAGTATTTGTCTTTTTGTAACTGACTGATTTCATTTAGTGTGTATCTTTGAGCTTCCACATGGTAGTATGTGTCCCAATTTCCTTCCTTTTCATAACCAAATATATTCCGTTGTGTAGACATACCACATTTTACTTATCTATTCATCCATTGTTGGGGTTATGTCTCCGATTTGGTTCTTGCGAACAATGCTGCTATGAACATGAGTGTGCTCAGATTTTGTATCTTACCACCTTAGTTATGAAACTTTCAAACAAGTGCAAAAGAATTTTCTGAAAATCCTTTATATTCGAGTGCCTTTGGCTGAGACGTTCACCGTTTTGTTGAAGAGAAGTGTCTGCACTCAGGAAGCCAAACTACTGTGAGAATATGATTTAAATTCCTATTGATACTTCCAGACTGCCCTTTTAAATTTCCTGTGACTGTTCACAAGAAGTCAAGCCACAGGCTCATTTTTGAAAGGTAGTAAACATATGCAAATATAACCAAGAATCTTGCTTTTGAAATATAATCAAAACCACTTGCTTTTGAAAATTGAATCCCCCTCCTGTTGAAGCTCCTCTGGACTCAGAAAGGTCAGCTATGGGGACAGCTAGAATTTTATACAAAAGAGCAAGAGGATCAGTTTTCCTCTATGACTGGTGAAGCAAATGATTTGTAGATAAGGTGACTGAGGAACTAAGATCCTGTAAATAGTCTTCTGGGAGCTAGACATCATCATGAAAATAGTTACTTGTGTGTCTGGAGGGAGTGTGCTGACTCCAAGAGCATCATTCTGTCACCTCTATTTCTGCCATGTAGCATGCAGCCCAGGAATGGGATTGTCACCTCATGAAAATCACTTGGCTGTGAAGACCTGCTGCTTCCTTCTTGGACATCAGTGTCTTGGGCTAGGTCACAGAAGCTTAGAAAGTAGTTCTAGAAACTGGGTTCAAGGATGCCTCAGGGAGTCTGGAGATACACTGTACTGAGGGAAGCTTCTGACTTCAGCCACTCTTCTTTCTCCTATGATTGAATAGTTAGTCTTGGCTTTTGCTGCATCTGATCTCCTCCCTGTACTCAGCCTCCTTGTACCCAACTCCCTTTGTGGGTTTGCTGGTTGGCATAGCACCCATGACTGGAATCTCTATTCCAACAGACTCCGAAGGCCCTACTTCTGAACCCCAGGCACTTGACCCCGGCTCTTCTAGTCAGAGCTTTGGATTCCAGGACTTAGGTTGTTTTTTTCCCTAAAAGGTCAAGTCCTGTGGGACATAATCTTCCCTCGCTCGTGGGGCCCCGGTTAGTAAAGCCTGCCTGCCTAGCTGAAAAACCAGCTTGCTGGCACAGACTACAGAGCTGGCACAGACCTTGTAGGAGGCTGGCTTAGACAGCGGCACCAGAGTCCTGTTTGTTCTTCAGTCCCTGGCAAATCCCAGGCTGACCGGATTCCTGCGGGACACAGGTGCTTCCTCTTGAGCTGCCTGCTGCTCAGACCATCAGCGACTGGGAAAAGGGGGGGCTTGTTCCCAGAGCCTTACTGTTCCATTCCCCAACCCCACCCCCAGTCTATTTTTTCTCTCCTGAGCACAGTAACATGATTTCCAAGGGAAGTATAATTTATATATAAACGGTTTAATGACAATAAATGTTTAAGCATTTTCAGATATTTGACTTTAATTTCCATAGTTTCCAACAGAACCACACTTGCACACTTATTCTTCAGCTGGAAAGGGTTGGGGACATCTGACTGCCAGGCAGGTGGAGCTGGTGCAGTGTGTCCAAGCTCAGGACACTTCTAAACTTCCCTCCGGTGGTACCGGCAGCCGGGCCAGGACCATCTCGTGCCTCACTTGCCCTTCTTCATTTTGTTAAAGTGCTGCAGAGCATCCTGCCAGCTGCTGCAAAGAGCACCTGTGTCATCACTGCCATTGAGAGTGTGTGCAGCTGTCTGGCCTGCTTTCCGGAGCAGGCATCTAGCACGTGCCCTGGGAGCAGCATCTGGGAGTGTGTGTGCCATGATCACGTTATAGACGCTCCATTCCGATGAGAGTTTAGTTGCATTTTGACTTTGTATGATCAGAATATTAAAGGTAGGACCAAGGTTGTCAAAACACTAGAAGTATAGCAGAGGTTTCAGATATACAGGTACCAGAGCTGACTCTCGGCAGTCTTGGAGTGGGGGAGAGGGAGGTGATGGGGTTGGAAATCTTCATCAAAAACCAAAAATCACAGGGTAAAATCAATAAGGAGGTGAATCCAACTAGGAAGAGCAGGGGTCTTCTGGAAACACAAGACACTTAAGGGTCTGGTTTAGCAGCAATAACTGTCTAAAACTCAGGCCAGGAAAGTAATGTCTTGTAGACACAGGGATGTGTTATCTGCTGCTTTGACATTGCTACTTAGGAAAAGGAGGAAGAGGAAGTGAGTGGAGCTTGTGAGGGTGACATGCTGGAAGAGACCAAAGACCAGACACTATTAGGGACTCCGCCGGCTGCTGGAGGTTTAGTTGACATTGGGTGTTTGTAGAGCCCTGTGCTCTTGTTTCCCAGCTGAGCTGGTCCGGTGCCTCCTGTGCGTGCCCATGCCTGGCAGAAGAGCCCTGACTGTAGGGGCTTGTTCTGAAGAGAAGCTCAGCTGAAAGCCCAACTGAGCCATGGAAAGGCAGGTGTGTCAGCCATGCCGCCACTCCCCATCTCGCCCGGGCACGAGACCAAAGTCAGCAACCTGCAGACTCTACTCTCCCAGCCAGAGGTAACTTCAGTTCCTTGCTCTCAAATGGCAGGAGGTACAGTTGGGGGTCTCGATGCTCATTGCAGCTGTGTGCGTAGGAGCGTGCCAGTCAGACCAACCATAGCCCTCACCAGCTTGGCCCTGGCCTTGGGGGCACTGGGTACATGGCCAAAGCCAGACCCCATTAGAGACAGCCTGTCTCCTCTCCTCAGTCATACTCACTCGCTCTCCTTTACTCTCCACACTTTGGGTTTCCAGGTAGAAGCACAGTGAGAGGCTTCAGTTTTCCTCTCTTTCTCCTGTATGTCTCCTTCTCTGGGTTGCTCCTTCAGGGCCCTTGGGTGACAGGAGAGTGATTGAGAGAAGTGACCACTAGACTGGGGATAACTTAGTTGTTGTTACCTGGAAACTTACATCAGCTGTGAACTGGAGCCTGTCCTGGCTCTAAAGAGGGAGATTTCATCTCCGTTAATGAGTCCTGTCTCTAAGAAGCAGAGAGCCATGGGGCATCACTACTAATTCTGCACAACAGAATGAGGTCAGCTGAGAACTCAGTGAAAGGCAGAGAATATAGATAGGCAGGAAGGTCTAAGGTGAGTTCTTAAAATGAGAGTATTAAAAAGCATGACTGAGGGAAGGTTCTGGATTTCTGATGAGATTTTCACAGTAGGTTACATTTTCATCTCATTAGCATGGGTTAGATTCATTCTTTCTATACACTAACTAGAAAGGATTAGATTTTAGATGGCAGGCAGCTAAGCAGCCAATGCCTCTTACTCAGCCTGGAAGTGTCACAGCAGGAGCGGGGCCAGAGTATAAAGGTCCTGGAGAAGAGGGCCTGTGGGTTGGAGGGCCTAAGGCGGTCTTGGCTCTGGGTTTTCTATCACTGTTTCTTTCTTTCTTTCTTTCTTTCTTTTAAGATTGATTTATTCACATGGAACAGGGGTACAGGTTAGAGATGTGGAGGGTGGGAGGATTCACCAGAGACAGAGAGGGGAGCAGAACAGGCAGATCAACGCAGCACACTGCTGAGGGGAGCAGTGGGCGGGTCAGGAGAGGTCTGCTGTGCCATGTGGTTACCTCTGGGGCAGGTGGGGATCAAACTCATGCGGAAGTGGCTTTAGCTTCTTAGTGCTGTGCTTTAACCCGCTGCACCACCAGGGAGGGCCGTATCACTGTTTCTTAACCTGTAGTCCAGATGTTTGCATGGAGAGCTTGGCAGCTACATTTGTGAGGACTGATACCAAGATCCCAGCCAGATCCCCATCTGGTCCATACCAGTTGAAAATGGTAAACTGGAAAAACTGGAAAAGTGCTCAGAGTGAAATTCAGTGAGGAAAATGTAGAGTATGTGCCAGAAGTGTAAGTGACTTCTGTGGGTAAGTGTGTTTAGAAAATGCTTTGGGTTGAGACCAGCATCTACCAGCAGCACAGGGCTGTGGTAGAATCCTCGCTCAGAGTCGCGAGTCAGAGTTGAGGATGTAAGGTCGCTCAGTCATGCCCTACTTGACAACTCTCATAGATAAGATCCTCTGGGGCATATTCTCCCCCTCAAAATCTCAGGCAATAGGGCTGTGATAGGTTTGGATTCTGACTCACAGGTAAAGGAATTTGGTAGTTAAAATTCTAGAGAATATGTTAGAGATCATGTTAAACCTTAAGTGTGTTAAAAATCCTGATGGGAAAACAGCTTTTATTGATCTTTCTTGAAGATCGAGTTTCAGCAGCAGAAACAACTTCCCTGACAATGAGAGTCATTAGGTGACTGAGTTATGAGGGAAGAATCTAGATTTGCTAGAATTTTATAATACGCGCTTCTTTTATCTGGTTAGGGTGGATCACATTCATTCCTGGGTTTCTACTTGATGGTTGAGTGCGGAAACTGATGACCATTTACAGTTCCTTTTCCAACCCAAGGACGGCCTGAGTCCTGCCTACAGACAACCCCTGCTCCCTGCTTTGCACTCCTTGAGGTATCCTGTACCCTGGGAATGGCACCAACAGCACCCCCCTCCCACACCACCAGTTTGTTTGTGGCCCCTCTTGGCTAGGTCACGAGGCTAGTTGAGGATCTAATTGGATGTGCTTCTTTGTTCTTTTCTCCCTGCAGTATGAGTTTAAAGCCAAGAACATCAAGAAGAAGAAAGTGAGCATTATGGTTTCAGTGGATGGAGTGAAAGTGATTCTGAAGAAGAAGAAAAAGGTAGGTGGGTTAGAATCAGAAACTGGTGAAGAGGGAAACTGGAGTGGGCTTCTCCTTCAGGATAAGGTCCTTCCCTGGCGAGAGCCTTTGCCTAGACAAGTAGCCACGTTAGAGATGGCAACTGGAGCCAGGTGAGGTGCGGCCAATGCCTGGTTAGCCAGTTAGCTCAATCTGTTGGTATCCCATGAATGATGGGTCAGTTCCTGTCACCCTGGCATTCAGCTCCCCTCCTCCATTTAGGTACCTTTACCTTAGAGCCTCGATCTTGGAAATATTTTGAATTCAAGTGATGACAAGTAAGAGGGTGTAACCAAGAAGTGGATGAGAGAAGCTTCCTCACAGCTGACACCTAGGGTGGCATCCAGCCTCCATTGTGTGACCTCTAGATACAATTGCTGCCTTTCTGTCTATTTAAATAGCCCGTCTGACCCAGCCCTGCCACCTATTAGTGTGAGGCCAAGCATGGCCATGATGGAAGGTATTGATTCTGCAATGGGCTGTCTCTTGAGTTGGGTGCTATCAGTAGGCATGCTTTGTTTGAGCACTAGCTGTTTTGAATTGATTGTATGCACTGTGGGAGATTGACGTCAGCTCTTGCAAAAGGCTAAATTGTATAGTGGGGGAGGGGAGAATGTATGTGTCCCAACCAGATCCCCAGCTGGTCTGCACCAGTTGAAAACGGTTTCTATAAATGAGATAAGTGCTCAGAATGAAGCTCAGTGAGGAATATGTAGAGATGTACCAGCTATGATCAGTATGAGTATAAGTAATGGCTATTAATACAAATACATAGCAAAGCCAGGGAGAGTCTTTCCCCAGCTGAGGAAGCTTCAGTGGAAATTTCTGACCTTGAAGTGTTTATAGTAGAAACTGTTCAGGGACTCAGATCTTCAGGTGCCTTATTCTGGTGGGGGAGCAGCACAATATGTTATGAGCATCTCTCATTGAGATGTTAAGAAGCCATCTTTCTTAGTTACACTAACAAGCATCTAAAAACAAACTTTTTGAACTGATACCAGCCAATAGTGAATCTCAAGGTTCTTAGGAGTCTTAGGTTATATTTGTAATGTGAGTCCAGTTATAGAGATAATTGACTTTTACTTTGATGTCTCTCAATTAGTACCGTTGCTTCAACTCCCAACTGGACTCAAGTAATTATCTTCTCAGTGCACATAATAATGACTATTTATTATAACACTGGAATCACATGATAGCCCGCTGTGTTTGGGAGTGGACTTCTGAATTAGAAAAATTGGTCTTGAACGTCATCCAAAGAATTGGTTTCCTAAAGGACCTAGAGGGTCTCAATTTTGTGTGGTTCCTCTTATACACCAACAGCTGTGTTGGGATCCCCTAAGATAACTTTCTAGAAAGGCTCATCTTTCTCATTAGTAAAGATTGATTGTGTATCTTCCATGTTCAAGGAAATGAATGAGCTCCATATGAGTATTAGACATAGATACTTTCCAACAAAATTAATGGTTTATAATGACATTGGATGCAGTAGGTATATTGCTGGCACCTATAAAACTATACTGTAGCTATTTGTGTCTTTCTTTCATGGGTTGTGAGCCTCTAGGGAAAAGATCAAGTCTTCTCTCAAATCCTGCTGTATCTGGGAAGGTAGAAAACCACAGGGAACAAACTGATGGAATTAATTATATATTGAATACTAAGTGAGAGCAGCTAGTCAAAGTAAGTAGTGATAATACTGAACACCTGCCATTTATCAGACCCTTTCCAAAGCACTGTTCACTCATTAAATCCTCACAACCATCCTGTGAGTTGGGTGCCATTCTCATTGCCAAACTTAAGACTTTTTTCCCCTCAATATATGATGCATCTTACCCATCAGTGGGAAATCTAGGTTTGAACCAGATCTGCCTTACTCAAATGTAGGTTCTTTGCACTCTCACAGTGCTCTTCTACCTCCTCTGAACCCTTTGGAGGAAAGTCACTCTGTAGGACATGCCTTAAAAATTAGTCTAGGGTCTCTAATTTCAAGGCTATACTCCATTTCAGGGACATCACTGCCAGGAAATGATTTTCCTGCTCAAAGAGTACTGTGAGTGACAATGGCCACAAATCTAACTGGATAAGAAATTTGCCTCTAATTGTAGGCACATACAATTGCAGAACCAGAATTTGAAAGAAAAACCCTTTGAAGTGATCTAGTTTGATCCCATAATTGATGAAAGTACGGGATATGATAAGAAAGGAGAAGAAAGACCCTTGTCAGTCACCCACAAACCTACTGTCATCCAGGGATTTACCTACAGAGCCACATCTGACTCAGCCCAATCTTCTGCCTACCACATTGTGTTCCTAGTCCTTCTTTATATTCTGCTAGTTTTAAAACAGGCATAGTATGTATGCAGGCTGTGGGTTTATTAGCCCTTCAGCTCTGAAATGTCTTTTCCTTGTCCATAGGTGTTCCCTGCAGCAGGAAATAACAATGTTTTTCAGACTAATCCTGTTCTATGGGAAACATGGGGACCTTGTCAGGCTGAGTCAATGTGGCCTTTACAAGGTTTTTAGAATTTTATTTATTTTGTAAGAAACCACCACCACTGCCAGAAGCATGAATAATGGCTAAAAGTTGGAGAATTTGTGGTGTGTTTGCTGATCATTTCCAGTAGGGATAGGAAATAAATGTCAATACAAATTCTTCCTCCACTTTTGGGTTCCAAGGGGAGGTCTTCAAGGATACTGTATGTATTTCCACATTCCAAAAAGAGACAGGAGCACTGTGATCATTAGCCCTGATTCCATTATGTTCTTGTCACTGTTCCAGGCAAATCTCCCTCTGAATCCATTCCTATACAACCTTCCCTGCCACGGGATTTTGGAATGACAGAATTGCTGCAGCTTCTCTGGGACGACTTGACATTTGCAGTCAATAGATAGAGGAAGGTGTGGGGGCTCTAACTAGGGTGTGCTCACCCTAAGGTGGTCACAGGAGAGCACACTGCAAGTCTACTACCATCTTTCACCTCTGAAGGTGAAGATCTTCTGCATTGGATTTCATTACATGGAAATAGCAAAGAGAACATGGGGCCAGTGGTAGACCACTTGGATTTCAGTGGCTGGCCTTGGGGGGCAGCATGTTAACTTCTCTTAGCCTCAGTGTTTATCTTTAAGGTTGGGTTCATTTGATCATTTAACAGGAGACATTATATAAAAGTTCCTTTCATACATGAAAAAAGACTTGCCCCCCTGTCATCTGGGAAATTTCTTGTGAGAATAAAATATAAAGCAGTTGAAGATGCATTTTCCTTATTGTTCCTTTCTCGTCCTCTTTTGGTGGTGTTCTTCCAAAGAGCAGATGCCAAGACAGAATTTAGTGCCTATGAGAGAAACAGGGAGGCGTCCGGGAAAGGTAGGGCTTGTTGTCAGACCAGGTGGATCTGACGCCAAGAGGCAGAGCCAGAGAAAGATGATGGGGAAAGGTCTCCTCAGACGACGGTGTTGTCCAAGGACAGTTTGGCAAGGCTGTCAGGGAGTTCTGAAGCTGGGGCTTCTGCCAGAGGATGCTGTGTCTCTTGGGACCGGAGCTGCCTCAGGAGTCATCCCTCAGGCTGGTCAGTGGCTGCCGCAGCCTCTGGGAAACAGGCCTGGCAGCAGCCAGCATGACGGTGGGCTTCAGGTCTGACAAGCCTCGTTTCGGCAGAACTCCCTGTAATTGAGGTTTGGAGGGGGTGTTCCTGTGACCACATGTACTTTCTCACTCCAGAAAATGTTGACCAGCCAATATATGAAGCAGCACCTTCTTTAGGCTCAGCTACTCAATCTCATTGACTTTTTAAAATTACCTTGGAGTGAGGAATAAATAGAGAAAGGGGGGAAAGGAGGAGATGGCATAGACAGGTTACAGACTGTGTTCCCTAAAGGGACAGCAGTGCCATGAGTGTCCTTGGCAGGCAGGGAGGGGCAGGAGGGAAGAGTGACGCACGTGGGCATGCAGAGGAAGTATGTGACAGCTCTGCACATAGTTGTGTCTAAAAGGGCTTATCTGCCCACCAGGCTCTCCCTCCACACTGATATCATTTCCCCCTCCCTTATATTTTTGGAACTCATGAATAGGAACCCCTATTCCCTAACTCCTTAGAGTCCATGCAGAGACCCTTAACTTGTACCACTGCCCAGAGGTCATGTTCCCCGAGTAATATGATGGAAGTCATGGGAGGAAATGTTCTGACACCTCACCTCTGAGTCAAAGCATTATTGGAAGTCTGCGGGAGCAGGAACCCCATCCCCAGCCAGCAGTGACAGAGAGCCCTTGTCCACAGCAGCTGAGTAGGAACCTTACATACCCTCTCCCACCTGACAGTGACTGGGAGACAGACCTTCTCTCCTCTGCTTGAGGAGAGTCACCAGAAGATAGTTAAACAAAGTTTAAATGAAATCAGGCATGACACAACTCAAAATTCAACTACCCAGATTTTCATTGAAAATCACTCATCATACCAGAAAAAGAGACCATAGAGACCAACAGCAAGATGACATCTGGAATCATAAAAGAGTTGTAGGCACCCATCAGAACACTTCCACAAGCAATTCCAGACCTCTTGAAACAAGCCTTAGTGAAGACATGAAAGATGAACCAAATGGAAGGATGAGAAATAACACAGTAGCTGAGCTAAAACCCCAGTAGGTGGGCTTCACAGCAAAGAGGAGGCGTCATACAAACATGGATTACATTAACCGTGCGGGCAGGATGTGTGGTCGTGACTACTGTTATGACTTCGTACCTAATTATTTAATATTTATGTTACAAGCCATTTCATGAACAAAATCAACGCATCGTTGAAGCATACTCTGTTTTGCTGTTTTAAAGAACTCCTATGTGAACAGCTATCTTCTGTGCTTAAGATTGGAGTTTAAGTGCATGCACTGGGCCTTTGAAAATCCTTAGCATCTCAGTTGGAAACCAGTCCCAGGGATGCCCGGAAGTGAGGGGGTAGCTGAGAGTGCATCAGCCATTCTCTGCTGGGGAAAAGTGCAGTCATAGCTGGAACCCAGAAGGGAAAGCCTGTCTGCACCTGTGGGCAGAGGGAGCAGACCTGTGGGCCAGGGATTGCGGGAGCACTGGCCAGTGTCTTGTGTAAATGAAAGTCAGTGAGGGTATGGAAAAATCCAGAAAACGTGGACTTGAGGGATATTTCAAAGCCTGGGATTGCTTGATAGGAGAACAGGATTTGAATTGGCTGTTTATGTTCTTTGGAGTCCTCTCTCTCAGAAGATTTGCTCCAACTATAGTCAGACTTTCCCGGGTACAAGCAGCCATTAGATGAAGGGAGCTTTGGGGAAAAAGAGTTAATTCTAAGTCGGAGCTAAAGTTCTGTCTATAAAAGGCATTTGATATGGAGACTTGTACCATTGAAATCCACCTTTCTGTGTTGACTTGGTACTGAATCAGATCCGGGGATTAAATGGCTAGTAGAGGGTGGGTATAGCTTTGTATCTGAGGAAAGCTGGGGAAGGACTCTGCCCTCTGGGTACAGGGGTTGGGGGAGAACCCGGATGGTCTCCCATTTCTTGGTGGAGACCTCCACTTGTCTCCACATGCCACCTGCACTGAGAGCTGTCATCCTGTGCACTGTCCATGGGAAATCCACAGAGCTGAGAACTTCGTAAGCAATAATTAATCCAACCAGTACTTTCATTGCCCTCTTACTCTCGCTTTCATGGAGCGGTAAGTGTGTTGCCATTTGTATTGTACAATCCTGCCCATGTGACAGAGACCAGGGAGGGCGGGGCAGGTGTCTTTGCCCTCACCTGGGTTGGCTGTCTGAGGGCCTGCTAACCCTTCGTTCCCCACCACTCTGGGCTGTGCATGAAGTATCTGGGTCCTCCACCACCACCCTGATTTTCTGTCCCTCACTCCCTATCCCATTCCTGGTCTCATTTCCAGTGGCAACAGAATGGGCCCTCTGTGCTCTCTGCAGATGGACTAGTTCACTCGCCGCAGGCTGTGTGGAGTGTGGAGTTACTGCTTGTCCCTTGGAGGGAGGGTCTGCATGTCACTGGCATTGAACAGCATCGTTCACTCTCTTTGCCCCCGCCTCCCTTTCTGTTTCTCTTGCTTCTCCTACTGTTCTTTTATCTGGTAAAATCTCATGAAATCCTTATTTGGAGTCTGCCTGTGGTCCCCTGAGGCCACCCCAGCTCCTGCCTCCCCTCTGCACCATGGACAGAGCCCCTCAAAGTGCTTGAAGGAAACATATAGGACCAGACACTTGACATTTCCACTTGCTCAAGGCCCCTTGGAAAGAAAAAGTCAGACCAGGCAAATGCATGTGTTTGCATAAGCATTAGTAGCTCGACGTGTGCCTGGGTTCTGGAGCGAAGGACAAGCCTAACTTATTCATTTACAGCTTCTTTTATTGCAGAAAAAAGAATGGACGTGGGATGAGAGCAAGATGTTGGTGATGCAGGACCCTATCTACAGGTAAGAGCTGGTCCCTGCTGGTGATGGTCCCCTGAGTCCGGAGCCACTGCTGGGTCGAAGGGTCCAGACAAATTTAAATGCATTTCTACTGCTTTTCCCTTCTGAGAGCTTTCATGTCTGTAGAACATAAGTACTGGAAGTAAATCTACCTGATCTTTTACATTGAGAGAATTTTTTTTATACTCAAGTGCACTGAAGGAACCAGGCAGGCTTTGCTCCTGGTGATTAATCTAAGTCTTGTCATTTGAGATTTTTCACTGTGTTCCGTTTGTCTCAACTGAAATTTCACAATCGCATATAGTGATCAAAGCGAAGGAACTGGGGTTTCCCATCACTTTATTGTTGGATCCACCCTCTGAAACTAAGCATAACTAAGAGATATGTGACCTTTTAGGAAAGTGGAAAGTGACAAATACACCAGAAATTGCTTTCACAGCCAGCCTGGTGGAATTGCTCTGGAATTACGTGGAGCACCACCTGTGTGTGCCTGGTAGAGGAATACCTGCTGCCAGTGTAGACGATGAGGGTGCTTCCAGAAGCCATGGCACTCTTTACTGTCCCAGTCCTCCCTCCTCTCCCCTCCTTCCTTCTTTTGTCTTCGATGGGAGAATGAGTCATGGCTGTTCATTCAGGGTTCGGGAAACCTACATTTAAGCTTTGATTGTTGTCCTTCTCTCAAATTATTTGTCTTGGTTGATAAATTGGATAAGAGATGGAATTCCATGGAGATGCCAATATGGCGGCCCTACCTGCCAAAGGGTAGATGCTTGTGGGTGGCGTTCCTGTTCACTAGAGCAACTGTGTCCATGTCATACACATTCCCAGTGCTCTGCTGCAGAGTTTTATAGATTGCAAAAATGAGGAAGGAGTGGACCTTTGTTCTCAGCTAGCTTTAAGCCAGTACAGAACAGAGTCCTTAAAACACCACTGGCTCAAGAGATGCCTGACGAAATGAATTCTTCCTCCCTGTTCCTGCAGTAATTTCTAATACTTGGTGAAGTAGTCATTATATTGTGTTATCATGGGTGATTTGGTGATGGGAAACCCAAGGAGATCGCAACTGAGATGGAAAAATGCGCAAAAATATTGTGTTACTGTTACATGGGGCAGGGGGTGGTGTGAGGTGGGGGCAGAAAAAAGGTTAATCTTTTGCCACGGGGCCAAGCTTGGGAGCAGAGCTAGGCCCAACTCACTTTTGTATTGCTGGCTCCAAGCCTTCGCCTGGCCTCTGTGAGGCATTTCATAAATGTGGATGAGTGGATGCATAAATGCATGGAGTTTCAATAAATGAACATAAGTGGTTCTCAGCGAATTGGAGTTCAACTTGAGTGGGGAGAAAGGCTTGCCGAAACCGATTGCATCTGAACCAGGTTTGCAAGCTCTAAGTGGACAAGTCCCTTGTCCATTTCTTTTTTAAAGAATTAGCTCACACTATTTTGCTTATTTGCTTGTTAAACAAACTGTGGTAAGTCCTAGGCCCTGGGGAGTCCTGAAACAGAATTCTTAGGACACCCACAGTAAGTCTTTTCAATCCAGAGTTTTTGCTAATTCTCTATTTCTGTGATTTTTGTGGGCTTTATATTTTCAGCTTAAAAGCAGGGGTCTGCATTTATCAATGTTAAATTGATAAATTTAAAGATACATTTCTTGGGAGTCCACTTTCAGAGTGTTTGAATTCTTGTTAAACAGAGTTCGGACAGGGAAGCAGCGGACTCTTAGTGTTAAGGCATAAGGGATTTGTTGCAGAATTTAACTGAAGCAATTCTGGTGGAAGCAGGTCCAGAAAAGATGAGAGAGGAGACACAAGCCAACCCTAGTATGGGTGATACGTCAGAGTCTGCAGGAAGCTTGGTGGGTCCCTGTGTCAGAGGTGACGGTGGAAGCTCTGGATGCTGCCAGGCTGCTGCCCTGCAGTTGGCAGTGATGAGGGCCGTGGCTGGTTGCATTCAGCAGCACTGACAGTGGTGAGGGTGACGGGACAAGGGGTACAGAAGAGTGAGGACAAATGGCACCTTGCTGGTCCCATGCTGTCGCCCCTTCTGGTCCCTGACCTGCGATGCCCTTTGGAGCAGAGTTGCTGCTGCTGCAGCCCTCTCCCAGCTCTCCCAGGTTCCTCTTCTGAGAACCCTTGAAATCCTCACGATGTAACAGGGTGGTCCCTAGGAAAAAGGGAAGTTCCAGGTTCCCTGCCCCACCCAGAAGGAGGGTGGAGCTGAGCAGAGAAAAAGGAGAGGAGAGAGAAGAGAAGGAAGCGGGATGGAGACGGAGGAGACCTAAGGAAGCCACATGGAGCAGCAAGCATGTGATGAAGAAACCGGACTTGTTTTCTGACCCTGGACTGGTTAAGGCAGATGTGGGTGACAGACCTGTAGGGAGGTGACTATGGCAGTGTTTATATTGATTTTGATTTTGCTCTTTTGCTCCCAGATTTGCCTGGCCATTTCTGACCCTTTTCAGTGGGTCCTGGCCAGAACGTGTTTTAGTCTTGTGGCGGGCTTTCAGGTCTTGCTCTGGGCCAATCCCTTTTGGGTTGACTTTTGCCCACAAGGGGATGGGTAACTTCAGGTGTTTGATTTAGAAGTTATATTCTTTGTGTTCCGTATTGTATATTCACTGTATTCAAGTCCCTTTTCATTAAAATTTTATATGTTTTTGTCTTGTTGCGGCAGATGGCAGAGCCCACTTAGAGCAGGCAGGTTTTTGGGGCTTAAAGGGTGCCCCTCTCCCCCTGTCCTCTTAACAGAATTGGGGTGCCCTATAACAACTACAGGTCTGCAGGGATCAGACACAGCATTCTAGCTTAGCTGACTCAACCCAGCGTAAAACCTGTCTGGGTTCCACCAACAAGCTAATTTTCCCACCTGGTTTTCTATGAAGTACAACTTCAATAAAATAGTTTCACTCAAGTCCCTGGTAAGGCTGTTGAAAAACAAAACAAAACAAAACAAACCAGGGCTATGCCTAGAACGTGAGAACTTGCTTCTCTTCTCGTCATTTCCAGGGCAGCCTGTCTGCAGTGTGTGTCCATCACTCCAGTTGTGAGCAGTGTTTGGTGGAGAGTTGATGTTTTTATTTCCATTAGAAATCTTTCTTGGACAGGGCCATTCATACATATGCATGAGTAGAAATTCCCCAGTTTTACACATGGACAGGGCAGCTCTGCAAGCCCTTCTCCACCTGGTTGAACCCGCCTCATTGAAGGGCCAGCCCCTTCGAAGTCCCACACCCCCGCCTGTCTGCCTGTCAGCACCACCTGGACATCCTCACTTCCTTCAGGGGACCTCATCTTCTGTGGGTCTTCCCAGCTTTCCCCCTTCCTTTAGCACATCCTGGTCATGTGGCCACCATCACTCCGCCCCCTTCATCTCTGCCGCTTGTACATCTCCAGCACTCTGACCTGCTGTCTGTCTTTCCTCGACCTTCCAGCCTTACTTTTATAGGCCCCTTCTCTCCTTATCAAAATGTCTGACTGTCTTCTGAAGTAACCGCCCTCAGCGCTGTGAGGCCATTCAGGGCATGTCTTTTGTCACCCCTCAGTCCCTCCCAAAGCCCTGGGTGTGTCCTACCCGTGCCTGCGGTTTCTCCAGGTTCTCTCTGTTTCCACGGCTTCATGAAACTGCTCCCTCAGTGTTTCTCTGCAATGCCTCCTCCTCCTTCTTCTTTTTTTTTAGTTTTCCTTACATTTTATTGTTAGTATTATTATATTACCATAATTTGGGGGCTTCACCTGCATTCCTCCATATGTGCCCATGTTCCACTCACCAAACCACCCAGTGCCTGTCCACTTTCCTCCTCCATCCCTTCCTGCCTCTCTTCTATTCCCTGTGGTAGCCAGTGAGTTTTTTTGTTTTGTTTTGTTTTTTTCTGCACAAGTCCAAGATCTCTTTTGCTGGATGTGTTGGTGTGATTTGGGTTTGGTTTTATTTTTGGTGACTTATAGTCCACAGATAAGTGAAGCCACCCCGTATCTGTCTTATTTCAATTTTTCTGCCTTCTCTGGTTTGCTCCCAGTCCTCCATGGTCACATGCTCCCTTTGTCAGTACTCTTGCCTTTCCTTAAAAGCAAGCTCTGAACTTCAGTTCTTGAGCCTTTGTAGGCGTGGTGAAGGCCCTGCACTTAGGAAGTCTCAGTAAACACTCGTCCCTGCAGCAAGGCCAGCTGCCTGTCTGTCGTGTGAGACCAAGGTCTGGCTCTGGTCTGCTTGTCACTTCCCGAGGCCTTTCCTTCCTTCTCTCCTTCCCCTCCTCTTATCTCTCCCACTCGCATGTCATTGTGTCTGCCACTGTAGAAAGTGCCAGAATGCAAAGGCAGATTAGTGAGAGCCCATCTCAGGGGCCTCCCTGTGGCTTTTCTTTTTTTATGATGGTTTTCAGGGAAATAAGATTGGTGCATGAGTTTTAAAATGACCAAATAATACCTCATTACTAAAAATAAAATAGCAAAGACATTTTATAAAGGAAAAGTCAAATGTCTGCCCTTCAGTGCCTTTTCTAATACCACTCTAGATGCAAATATGTAGACACTCGGATGCCTTATTTCCTTCCAAATCCAATATTATTCTACCACTTTACAATTAGCTTGTGCTTCTCTCTGGAATCTGTCAAGGACTTCCACATTTGGACTTAGATTGCCCATGAGGGCCTGGCTTAGAGAGTTCCAAAGTAAAAATAGCATTTTAGAAAAGCCAGTATGGCCTGGAATAATACATGTGCCCCAAACATTGGAAACTATGTCAGGGGACAAACAAGGGAGACCCTGCCCAGCACCCCAAGGCTAATGGGAGAGTGACAGCAGTAGGAAGCATGGGGTCTGGAGCTCATCAGTCTGTGAGCCGTGTGAAGCTTGGGTCATTTAGACTAGTCAGAGTCTGGATGGAGATAGTAAATTTGGGAGAATCACCTTATTTGGGGAGTTGTGGGGAGGAGAAAAAGTCCTTAAATCTGAGGGCATTTTGCCTCAGCTGGATTCCACTTGGTTATTAGGTTCAGTCAGGCTGAAG